ATGGAGTATGTTGTGATGATGATATTATTCCATCAAGATTGACAGAACTACTGGTTGTCTTTGTGTCAGAATCCATTGATGATCATTACCTAGGGCTATTATCTCATTTCCAGTTGCCTCTCTGCCCTTAGGCTTTCTTTATTACTGAAATTTGTATTTAAAGAAAAACCCTCCCTCATCACATATTTGATTATAGTGAAGATGCAATTCATACAGGAAAGCAAATTAACTCTTTTTCTGTATTTTTTTAGTATTCAAAATAAGGAGTGGGTTTCCTAGCATCTTCTGAAGTTGGCCAGTGAATTTTATTTGCTTAGTATCATTGTCAGCTCACAAGTTTAAATGTTTTTGATGTGTTTCAGTTAGACACACTTACTATTATTGATGCCCAGATTGTCCTATTTCAACATGGTTGGAGCTTTGGATCATGTCTGGATTTCTTTTGACATGATCCCAGAAGTTCTGGATAGCTTCCAGGTATGAGAAGATAATCCAGGCTCATCCGTGTATCTCTTGTTCCAGATCTATAAGCTACTCCAAGAAGCCTTTCTTCTTTTTTAGTGGGAAATAGTATTAAAAAATCATAGTCTGGAATTAGAGATGTCTTTTTCCACTAGTCTGATTCTTGCTTTTATAACTTTTCAAAGGTCTTCAGCTTTTTATTGGACAGAGCAAAGAAAAACCTTTTAAGAGAAAATACATCATGAGCTCAAACTGATCTTTCCAATTCAAGTTAAAGAATAGATTGTTTTGGCTATTTTTATTTTATGTCTCTGTTACACTGGAAATCTTTGTTGCTAATGACATTCATGTAATTACATATTTGCTTTATCCTATTGTTTATATACCATACCTTATATACTATGTAATGCTTTTTATGTCATATTTCATTGTTATTGTATTTTGTGTTATATTTTAGTTTCAGAAAAGCAATAAAATTATTAGAAATTTGATAGATTGAACAATTTAAGATCTTCCTTTTTTGAGTTCTTTTTGTCCTAAGGGTAGATATAATTTGAAATGTACTGTGTTTTTAAATTATTTGAAATGATTCCTTGTGCCACTAACACTGCAAACAGTTAAATTTACTTTTCTCGTTTCTTTTTAATGTATTGCTTTATTTTTTCAGTATTGAAAATTGAATCCAGGAGCACTCTGTCACTCAGTTATATCCTCAGTTCTTTCAATTTAATTTTTTAAAATTTGAAACAGGATCTTGGGACATTGCTAAGTTGTTAAGGTTCTTGGTAAATTGCTGAAGCTGACTTCAACTTGCAGTACTCCTTCCTCAGACTCCCAAGTTGCTTTTTAAAGTTAACTTTTCTTATTATTATGTAAAACATTTAAATAGTTCCAAAATCAAATCTATGAAACAACTTGTATTCCAAGATAAAAAACAAGGTCTGATCTAACTTCTATGTCCTTCCACCCTACTATTCCCTCCCTAACCTATATTATTAGCTTTTTGTTTTTAATTTAATGTTATTTTTTTAATATAACCAATATTTATCCATACTTGGTTCTCTACCATCCTTTATTAGGAAAATAATAGAACAATATATATATATATATATTCATATTCCTTTGTTTTAGTTTATTAGTTTATTTTATTTAGTTTTATTTTATTTTGGAGATTATTATAAACTCTATTTAGGAATCTTGGTCTTTGTTTTTTTAAAAAATTATGGTAAAATGCATATAACATGAAATATAACATGAAGAAAAATCACATCTTGACATATTTTATATGCACTTATTTTGTATATAGTGAGTAAACTTTATATATATATATATATATATTTATTTATTAATTTGTTTTTTTTTTTTTCTTTATTTTTTATTTTAGCTTTCATTAGGGCGGGCACCTATATATGTGTGTGTTTGTGTGTGTACACACACACACACATACATGGACCAATTGTTTATATCTTCTGCCCATTTTTCTATCTAGATTGCTTCTTTTCTTCTGATGTAAAAGCTTTTCATTTAATAGAAATTATATATAACATGTGTGTGTATGTATGTGTATTATTCCATGTATAAATCATTAGGGATATTTATTATGGATACTAGTCCTTTGCAATGTAAGTTCCAAGTGTCTTTCCAGTTTCTTATTAGAGTGTATGTTTTGTGTATGATAATTTTTGCCAAGGCAATACTAACTTTTAGGAAGCTAGGTAAAGATGAGTTTCTTGTATCAGGAAGTACTTAAAACAATTGTAAGTGTTCTTCACTATAGAATCCTGTCTGTGTGTCTGTCTGTCTATCTATCTCTCAATCTATCATTTCCATCATGTATATCATCTGTCTGTTTATCTACCTATTTAAACTAATCTTTCTAAAAGTAGCAAGGTCATGGAAAGAATGGATGAATTCTAGATAGGATAGAGGGGTGGGAGGGAAAGAGAGGGGGCAGGGGGTTAGCAAGGATGGTGGAATGTGATAGACATAACTATCCAAAGTATATGTATAAAGACATGAATAGGTGTCAAAATACTTTATATACAACCAGAGATATGAAAAATTGCGCTGTATATGTGAAATAATTGTAATGCATTCCACTGTCATTTATTTTGTTAAAAAATCAATAAAAAATAAAAATAGCAAAGTCTTTTAAATTCTCCTGGATTTTAATAGGAAGTAAGTTTGGGACCATATCAAAAGATCATGAAATGGTAATTCACTTTTTTTGGCCAATTATTATTTTTATACCATATATTTTCATCTAGATTTTTTTCAATTTTGACAAAACTTTATTTTTATACTTTTCAAAAGTTTCATTCCTTTTAAACTTCTCATCCTGCTCTGTGGCATCATATGGTTAATTATAAAGGCCCTGTTTTGTTTTGTTGCCCTTTTTAATGCTGTTTTAAAATATAAATAAGAAAAGAATATCATCAGACTGTTTTTCTCAAGATAGTCTAATACCAAAATTGTAAGCATAATGAAAGGAACCAGTCTTATTTTCCCTAACCCAGGAGGAAAAAACATGTTTATCCTAACATGTACTTAATGATAGACCTTCAAGTTATAGAGCCAGAATGCTTACCCTGGGATTCAGGAGTTTCCTGGCCATGGGTAGACTTCTGGGAGTCTAAAAAGCCTGTGAAATTGTCTGCAAATTCTTTTCTCAGGAGTGCAAGGTTCATAGCTGTTTTCCCCCAACATTTTAATACAAAAATTTTCAAATATAAAATCATCTCAGTGAACACCTCTATATTATTTCACTTAAATTTAACCATTAACATTTTACAATATCCGTGATTCCTTCAGGCCATCTTATTTTAAAAATATATTTTGAAGAAAAGATGAAGGCAAAGGTACATATAACCCCTAAACACTTTGGCATGTGCATCATTAGCTGGAGTTCACTATTTACACATTTGTTTTTAGTGAAATTTACCTAAGAGAAAATGCACAAAATTTAAGCATCTATTCAATAAGTTTAAAGAGAAATACGTACAACCCAAATCCTTATCAAGATAAAGAACATTACTACTATCCCATAAAGCTCCTCCATGTCCCTGCCTACTCAGCATCTGCCTCTCACCCTGAGGAAACCACTGCTCCAATTTTTTTCACCATAAATCTGTTTTTCCAAATGCAACGTAAGCATAATCCTATAGTTTATATGTAAGGTTTCTTTCATTTAGCATAATGTTTTTGAGGTATGCCTGTATCACTGCATGTATCAGTAACTCTTCCCTTTTTATGGTGAGTAAAATTCCACCTTGACTTTTTAAGATTCTTGAAGTGTTGTGATCAAGAAAAGGTTTATAACTACTAACTAGAGTTCAAATGCATTTCAAAATATCTCAGAAGTGGATGAATGTATTGAATTTGACAACTTCTTAAAATCCCTTTAGAAAGAGATTTTATGAGGTGTTTGTATCTCCTCAAACAGGCAGATGCATATGTGCATACCTGAGCTATGAAGTGTCCAGGGCAGATGCTGGAGGTTGATGGATGGAGAAGCAAGGAAACTGTCCCTTTGTTTCTATAAAAATTTAGACCAGAGGGGAGAAATGCTGGGGAGCAATATTGGCCAAATTCTATTGTTATATTGTGTGCATGTACAAATATGTAACACCAAATCCCATCGTTCTGTGCATCTATAATGCACCAATAAAAATGTAGGGAAGATAGAAAAAGAATCAAAATTTTTAAAATTGATTTTTTTTAAAGTAAGAATCTTAATTAGCCTCATTTATTTAATATTAGCTGAAGCCACTCATATTTTTCAGCTTTTACAGGGATAAATGGTCAGTCAATAAAAACTGCATGCTATAAAATAAGAAATTGATGGTAATCATAAGTTTTCCCTGCTACCATTAGTGAATAAACTGTAACATAATTTAAGAGAGAATAATATATCTTGTTTTATAGAACTGAAATATTATAGGACAAAAAGATATGATTTTTCTTCATAATGAAATAAAAGTCAGGATAGTACTGCAATTTGAATTCCAGCCATTGCTCGTTTAAATAACTAGGTTTTGTTATCTAAAAGGTCTTTGAAATTAATACATATAGTGCCTAGATCATAATATCATTATCAAAAAATGTGTGCAAAAAAAATAGAACAAAATGTGCCTCCACATAAAGTAATTTTATCCCACTTCTTCTTCCAATGCTATGGATCACTGAAAACACTAGGTTCAATCATATGTAATTGATGTATGAGACATTGTTTATAGCTAATAAAAACACAATGAAGATCAATGTACAATAAGTCAGAACCAAAGGAGATGGCAAGTAATTGCATAGGTAAAGAAAACAATTACCTTGAAAAAAGTATTGTATTGTATAAATTATATAATAAATTGTTGAAGTACAATGGAAGTACCTCCTAGGATTTTATGCAAGTGTCAGTATCTCTGATTTTGAATTCTTACTTTGGGTATGTATCAAATTAACATTATAGTACCTCCTTTTTGCAGTGTATTTTAAAATTACTCTTTAGAGAAAGTGCAAAAGTCACCTCGGAAAAAAATTGGAGTCTATGTGGAAATTCTTTCCAAAAAACTCTTTCACTTATAAAGCATGTTTTTACTGAGCACTTACCATGTATCATGTGGTTCTCTTAACACTGGAGATATCAAGATTAATGAGATATAGTACCTGGGCTATGGGAGTACAGCAGAAATCTTGGAGGGCTGTGGTGAGAGAGGAGCTTCTGAAGAAGATAATTGCCAAGTTAGATATAAAGAATTATTGGGAGTTAGCTTGGCCCAGATAGGGGTTTCTAAAGGGATGTGAAAAGATAGAGTGAATCCCAAGTGAAGTAGATAACATGATCAATTTATGGAGGTACAATATTGCTTAGTCAGAGAAAGATAACTACAAATATCTCAGTGTGGCTGAAGCAAGACTGGAGTGGTAGAAGATGAAGATTTAAAAAGAAAAAAGTGGATATGGACTGGATGGTGCTCATGATGGTAAAACGCTTGAATATCTTTTAAGAGATGAAAAGCCACTAAAGGATTGTATGTGGGAAATGGCAGGATCACATACATTTGTGTTGTGGATTGCTCACATTTGATGCTGCTTAGGTGGCAGATTTGAATGACAATTAAACTACAAAAATTCAGGCAATAGGCTATTGTTTGACTTGAAAGTTACAAAATCATGATAGCATGGTAAGAAAGGGAAGGTTTCAAAAAATATTTAGTCAATAAAAGTAGCAGAATTGGCCATCAATTAATTAGTGATGAATGCCAAATAATTGGGAGAGGGGCTGGGGATGTGGCTCAAGCGGTAGCACGCTCGCCTGGCATGCGTGCGGCCGGGGTTCAATCCGCAGCACCACATATAAACAAAGATGTTGTGTCCGCCGAAAACTAAAAAATAAATATTAAAAAAAAATTCTCTCTCTCTCTCTCTCTCTCTCTCTCTCTCTCTCAAAAAAAAAATGGGAGAGGACTCAAGGACAGCGTCAGGAATATGCTTAAATCGGGCAATAACTTAGATGTATTAACTTTGAGATATCTGTAAAGGTTCAAATTGGTAATTAAATATTCAAGCCTGAAGCTTGTAGGTCATTAACATGGTGATAATGATTCAAACATAAGGTAATAAGATTGCCCAGAAGGAGTTGGATGTATTGGAGGAAAACCTTAATGATATTGACATTTAAAAAGTTGGCAGACTAAGAGGATACCAAGAAGAAAACAGAAAAAGAAGGACCATAGAGACACAAACTGTATTAGTCAGCTTTTCATTGTTGTGATAAAGTACTTGAGAAAATCAACTTCAGGGAGGAAGGTTTATTTTTAACTCGTGATTTGAGAGGTTTCAGTTCATCCTTGATTGGCACTGTTGCACCAGAATATCATGGTGGAAGCACATGGAGAAGGAAACTGCTCACCTCATGGCAGGAAGTAAAAGAGAGAGGAAGGGGCCAGGGTCCCAATATTCCCTTAACCATCAAGTATTATGCATGTCTCTGGTAGAGTGCTTTAAAATTATGTGGTAATCAATACTTCATCTGAATACATTATTATGCACTTCTCCAATCACCTATTTGACTTCATATTCTATGAACATAAGATGCCCAACAAATACTCAAAACAAGATAATTGAGAAGTATCACAGAGAAATGGAAATAATGGTAAATCAAAAGGGCCACACAATGGTATGGAACAGAAGCCAATTAGGGTTGCTGAGTGAAAGAAAGGTCAGTCAAGTGAAAAATAGCTAGTGCAGAGTATTCTTTCAAGATGTTTGAAGAGAAGAGAAAGATAGAAAGGTAATCTAATGTTTGGTAAAGAAGAATAAATCAAGGCTGAGAGAAAGGAACCAGCATGAAGGAGAGCATATTTGGTTGTTTTAATGAGTTTTTCAACTTAAAAATTTCAGATTGAACATCGAACTTTAGATTAGATTTTACTAAATTTCATTAGATTTTACTTAAACAGTTTTAAGAAGACATTTTGTTTTAACTTGACGCCAATTACAACTTGTTCACACGGAATTCATACTACACTTAGATATTGTATTCTTAACTATGAGTCCATTTTTCTTCTTTCTTTAGAATCCTGCTATCAAAACTGAGGTGAGCTGCATGGATTTATTACAAAGAGAAGGATATAATTTGATAGTTACTGGTACCTTAAATGGTATAATCATCCTATGGAATTTTGTAGCATCTACTGTCAAAGAAGTGTAAGTTGCATTTTTGCCTTAAATAATATAAAAGGTTTACTAAATAATAATAGTCAAAATAACTGGAAATGCTTAACAAATCAAAACAAAACAAAACAAAACATAATGGATAAAAGTGGTGATGACTCTTAAGGGAGGCTTTCCTGGAGATTATGGTCATGAAAAGACTATGTTCCTTACGTTCCAATTCTAGAAGGATATATACACGGTAAACCTTAAGTATCTATATTCTAAGAACTTTGACCTATGCTCTCCTCACATGCCTATATGATCTTTTCATGTGTGATCTTGTCCAAACTTGTCACCTTGACAAATACTTAAAATACATAATAACTCCAAACACAAATATCCCCAGAATTTCAAACACACGTCTAATTGTCAACTGGTGATTTCCAAAGTCAAATGGTGAGAGGTATGTATTCCTCGGGCTTTTATTTCTCATTCAGCATCCCAACACATCCAATTTATTATGGAATGGTGCTAACAAAGGCCCATGGTTCAGGTGTAATTTTCCATTGCAAGCACTTAGGTTGAGATGCTCTATATCATGACCAAAATCTTCCCCTGCCATTCATATCTAAATTTTCTTGCCATTGGTTATAAAGAAACCAATATAATATTGTATTATCTGTACAGATGGATTGTAAATAATAATTCCCCAGTTGTGCATTTAGGACTCTTACAAGGACCATGGACACTCTATGTCAAGGGGGTTTGTAACATTTTATTTTATTAAAGGTACAAGATGGCCAAGAATTTTAATGATAAATTAAAATAAAATAAAGATTATTTAATTCCTTAGGGAAGGAAATATGTATGAAGGATAGGAGAGAAGAAAGCTGGAACAGATGAGGCAGAAGAGGAAAATTCACAAGCAATCTCTGCCTCTCTATAGTACCTTACATAGTACTGGCCTACCTGGACTTAATGTTCTTTTTCTGACCAAGTTTGAATTATTGCTTTTAGCCAACTTTTGAAAGGAAAACAATTCTCATTGGGACTCTGGATTTATTCTCTTTTGAAGCTTTAACTGAAATAGTCAATATTTGAGGTTCAGACCCTACACTCTGCACCTCAGTCCATGTTCTCCTGGACTGTCCCTACAATTTCTGCCATCCTCTGGTCCTTCTGGTTCTCTTCAACCTTGCCCTGGGGCTTTTCTTGCAGATTGTCATTTGATATCTGTATCTCTGTGCATGGCACACTTCCTCATCTTTTTTATATTAATATATTTATTGCACTGCAAATGACTTATTGCCAAGAAGGGAAAGCAGATAAGACTTAAAAGACTAGTATTGATGCCACAGATGAAAGGGTGGGCAACTCTCCTGAGAACATTCTCAATTTAAAGGTAGAGATCCTCTTTGTTGAAGTTCCTGGTATTTTGTCAAGAGATACATGCAATTCCAACACCCAATTGGAAAGAAAAGCAACTCATTTTTGTGGTTTCTATACGGTGACCCTTTCTAATAGGCAGATAATTATAGAAAAACAATTGATAGAGAATCACTGGAGTATTTTTCAAAACATATAATTAAGGTAATTTGCTTTTAAATTGAAAATAGTTTCCATATTCATGGTGAAGGCCATTTCTTCTTCTACCTTAAACTTTGCCTAAGACCTCTCCTCCTTTAAATTAGGAATATTCTCAGGAGAAATAAACCCTCTCTCTCTCTGCTCCCAAATCCATGTTTTGGGGAGGCCCAAATTCAATTTTTTTTTTGTGCCAGGGATTTAGCCCAGGGGTGCTTAACCACTGAGCCATGTCCCTAACCCGCTTTATGTTTTATTTAGAGATAGTCTCACTGAGTTGCTTAGGGCCTTGCTAAATTGCTGAGGCTGGCTTTGAACTTGTGATCCTCCTGCCTCAGCCTCCCAAGCTGCTGGAATTACAGGCATGCACTACTGCATTGGGCTTCAATATTGTTTTTTGATAATTTTAATGTATTTCAGCTTAAGGATGATTTTAATGTGTTTAATGCATTCAGCTTATCTGTAAAGCAGAAATACCTAAGAAGTTCAAGCCCAACAAGTCATTAAGTCCAAATCCTTTATTTTTTGAACTTGGTTACTTCATCACTCTTAGTTTTCCCTTACTTTAACAAATACTTGTCACAATCAGTAAGAGAAAAGTTTTATTTGGGTTCACAGTTTCAGAGGTTTCAGTTTATAATCGTTTGACCATTTTGCTTGAAGCAAAACCATCTTCTGGCAAGGAAGCAAAAACGAAGGCCAGGAAGGAGTGGGATCCCATTGGCCCTTCAAGAGCATGCCCCACTGACCAGAAAATTCTCATTAGGCCTTACCTAGTCAAATTTCCACCAGCTCCCAATAGCATCAAGCCAAGGACCAAACCTTTAACATATGGCCTTTGAAGGACATCTCAGATCCTACTCCCTCACTGGCTCAAATTAGCAGAAGGCATTTCCGGAAAAGGGGATTTTGCTAAAGGGCCTATTTGTTATAAGGAATTAAAAGTGTTACTTTTAGAACCAAGCATGAAGTGCCAGTGTAGGCAGTTAGGGACAGTTGCTCTTACTCACTCAGGCCACTACCTAGGTGTATCATTCCTTGCAATCTGGAGAGACAAGGGACGTGAAAAACAGGAGCAAAATTGTAAGCTCCCAGAGGGTAGTAGCTACATTTAATTCTAATTTGTCACTCCACTTATTCAGAGAGTAGAATTCTATTATTTAAACAGTATGATACTTCCAGTAACTTCCACCACAGGATTATACAAACTGACACTCTGACCTATAATTAGGAGAACCTGTCCAATTAACTGAATTAAGACTTTTAAACTATTAAAGGATAATATGGTTATGCAGAACCTTATTAAAGAAAACATTCAAACCCTAAAATTTCTGGATTTTCTTTTTTTTCAATACCTTTATTTTATTTATTTATTTTTATGTGGTGCTGAGGATCGAACCCAGGGCCTTGCACGTGCTAGGAGAGCACTCTACCTCTGTACCACAACCCTAGCCCCTGGATTTTCTTTATATTCAAAGTCATCAACATTTTGGGAGTTGGTCATATTTGCATGGAAAATATGGTACAAATAATACAAGTTATTGTACTTGCTTCGGCAGCACATATACTAAAATTGGAACGATGCAGAGAAGATTAGCATGTCCACTGCTCAAGGATGACATGCAAATTCATGAAGCATTCCATATTAAAAAATAATAATACAAGTTATCTACTTTGTGAAATTTATCATGTAAATGCATGCTGATTTTCAGGTATCGACCTGAAGGTTGTTTCAATATGGACCCTGACTTGGATCCCAAGCGCTTTAGGATTAATGACATACTGTTCCTCTTTCGTACTCCTGAATGTGCAAGGTAATTCAGTATTTATGGATCAAGTAGTGTGATCTGGGACTTATGTCGATGACATTAAAAAAGAGTTCTCATCATTCCAATATTAAAGAAGGGACAACTGGAGGAAGACATAAGTTGAGTTGGCTTCTCAGCTTCAATGATTGTTTTCCTGTCACTGCCTTTATGTAGTTAGAGTGGTCCTCAGGGACCTAATGTGCTGTGTGGTCCCCTCACCATATCAACTTCACAGCTTCCTTTACATCATTCAGCTACATTGTGAGCCAACATCTAACACTGTCACGGCTGATGTGTAGCTAAAGTTAGAACTTTCCAGGCAGGGATAGAAGATCAAACTGCAGGTTTCACATTCAATTCAAAATCACGGGAGCAACCTCCATTCATTTCTGAAAGAACAAAGACTTGTTTTATAAGTATTTAAGGGAAAGTATATTGGCTTGAGAATTCTGGTTTGGGGGCAATAAACTATGTTAAACACATCTCCAGAGAAGAAATAAAAAGTTTCTGTGTTAGTTTGAGGTCACTCACTGGTGAGCCAGAATACAACACCTTCCCTACCTCTTGGCTTGAAATTTCATCAAAACAATTTGGACAATATTTCAAAGACTTCCACTGTGTTCATCTGCACCAGCACCAGCACCCTAAGCCACTTTTCAGTCCATGCTAGCAAACCACTGCAGAGACAGAATCAAGCCAGCCCTGGCCATTATAGTGCAAGAAGTTATCCAGGCTTGCCAGACCCTACCCAAAACCACCCCATCCCCAGCCATTTCAGTGCCAAAGCCTCTGGGAGTAAATCCAGCTTTTGTAAGTAGTAGGACAGATCAGACTTCGTTTTTCCAGACTCAGGCAGCAATTTACCTTAGCTGCTAAAGGCTCCCCAGAAGTCTCCACCACACTACTGAATGTTTATCACACAAAATTTCATAATTGAAGGGCCTGGTATCCACAGCTGATACAAGAAGCAATCAATGGAAAGTTAAGCAGAAGATACTCTTGGAGAATGATATAGTACCTCTTCATCCTGGGGTTTCCTTCCTTCCATTATAGGAAATCAAGCCAGGATTCCATATGCTCTTCATCCCAGTGTGAGTCTAGCAAGGGTCTACAGAGTAGCAAGGTAAGCCAGGAGTAGAGAGTATCTTCTTGTTCTACTTGTGTTGGTTCAAAAATAGTGATGTTGAGCATCTGAGCCCTTCCTTCCTTTAAAGGAAAGTAAAGGTGGAAAAATTTGATGTGTACATGTCAAAACAATGTTTTTCATAATAATATCTACACCATTTTCAATTTTAATTCTTTTTCAAAGCTTTTCCATCTGCAAATAATCAATATATGACCATTAACAAAGTAAGTTATCTGATTACTTTTGCATTAATAAAATAATAAAGTAATTTTAAGAGTGTCTCATTTGCTAAAAAGTATTACAATTTACAGGAAGAAGAGATTACATGATATAATGATAACATAATGTAATGTAGTGGTTTTTAATTTCAATGTATGTATTTTTATATATTATATTTTATTTGTTTATTTTGGTTTTGGAGATTGAACCCAGGAGCATTTGACCACTGAGCCACATCCTCAGCCCTTTTTTTATTTTTCATTTTGAGACAGGGTCTCACTAAATGCTTAGGGCCTCTCTAAGTTGCTAAGGCTGGCGTCAAACTTGTAATCCTCCTGCCTCAGCCTCCAGAGTCACTGGGATGACAGGCAAGCACCACCACGCTTGGTTTACACATTGTATTTCCAAGTAGGATTTTGTACAAAGGAAAGTTTTCGAAGCATAAATTATTTTAAAATAGCTGGCATGGTGAAAGAATAAATGTATTCAAATAGATATAAAAGCCAGACAGACTTGTACATGAATCCAAGTCCTCCAGTTAGTAACTGGATAGCTGTAGAGATGTCACATGCTCTGAGTTTCTGTTTGTTCATCATTAAAAAGAGAATAATAAAGATTAAACTATTTGGTTGTCAATAGAATTACAGATAATATATACCAAGAACTGGACATGGCATGTTTTGGGGTGTTTAATTATTCTCATTATTATGCTACTCCTGAACCCGCTAGGAAATGTTGGGTTATGGATTCCCTATTTATGAACATGAAAATCTCTGCAATACAGTTTTTCAAAGAACTAATTTTAAAATTAATGCTTAAGGAAATAAATCTGCTCATCTATTGTGTCTTATTTCCTTACAATGTCAAGAAATATTTTATCTTGCTCTTTTCCCCTCATTCAGGGAAGCAAGCAAAGCGTACACGATGGTGATTTGAAAGGTCAGTGTTCCTTCTCTTCTTCTTAATAAAACAGTACCTTCTTTTCTTTTATTTTTTTTTTAAGTTTTTGCTGTGCTTCAGATTGAACCTAGAGCCTTCCCCATGCTAACCAAGTGCTCTACCACTGAGCCACATCCCCAGCCCTGGCTACTGCTTTGTAGCAGGGACTTTACCTGACAGAATACTCTTAATGAATATTGTGCTCAAATGTTGAGATGCTGTGGGATTTGGTAGTCCAACAGGTAGAATTTGTTATGATAATACCTTTTAAAATACGAATTCTAGGTTTTAAAAAATCTAAAACATTACTGAGCTTCTTAATCTCCAGCCCATTTTCCTCAAACCTCTACGTAAGCCATTCTGGATGTGTTAGGATTTACACTAGATGAATATCTTGGTTTTAGTTGGCACATACGGTAAATAGAGGCTTTTGCTATAGGATAAAAAATATAAACCTTTTAAAGTTTTTCAGTGATCCAGGATTCCATTTTTT